GAATATTTTCCCTCCCTGAGATTCCCTAGAGATATTCAATCCCGATCAACCCACAATAATGGACATCAAAAAACCTCCCAAACTCCTTTAACCTTCAACAAAAATTTATAATATTTAAGCAACAACAATTTCAAAAGTTTTTTTTATAAACTATTTTCAAGATGCTCTGAAGACGAATTAAAAGAGCTAAGTGTCAATTTTGATAGTGTTCCACAGCAAGCAGATCAACTATTGTTTGATGGTTTAATCCAAATAACCAAGTCCATTGAATTTCAATTGTTTTTTAAAGAATATAACAAAGCATTTGGTTTTATAATGGATAACTATTCAAATTTAACCAAAACCAATTGTTCTATCGAAGATAAATGTAAAACATGCATAGACTTCCTCTTTTCATCTTACAAAGAAACAGAGTTTGATGATGGACTCAGATCTTTATTTAACTGGGGTATAGAAAATTATGTTTTATCTATAGAGTACTGGATTGAACAAATCAAATGCAGAGATCCTGGATATGAGTATTTTTGTTCTATGATGGTAGATTTCTGTTATAAAAGACTATTATGTTGTAAAAAAGTTAAATTTTCAACAATTCTTTATTGCCATAATCTTATACAGAATAATAATGTAGATATTCAACATACACTATTCCACTCATTCCACTACCTCAGAATTAAACATTTTACACTACACTATTATATAATGTCAAGGCCCTTCATATTTGAAGTATTTGGGTCGTATGATACAATTCATGCAATGATATTTCAAACAGCAAAATATTTCTCTGCTACCTATGGCACTGTTAACGTTCCTATGTCTGGTACCGTTTTTACAAATCAAGTTATAAACAACATTATTACACCTAATAATATAGATACCATGAATCAATATGACTTAAGACTTTTTTTAGATCCAAATCAATTCACACTAGAGTATATTAGTAAGTTAGACAATGACGAACTTTTAAAGCAATTATCCTATCATCTATCAACTAAACCAACTGATAAAATGTCTCAATTTCATCCCGAATATCAAGCAATGTCATTGGATCAAGACTTTAAATTTTATCTACATATCAATAGAAGTGACTTATTTTTACAAAAAATACAAGAGGCTATAATAACTACATCAGCATCCACAATTTTAAATATTATATTATATAAAGTATCATTCGAAATCAATAGTATGGGTGTCGATTTAAAATACCATCATCATGATAATAGTTTAACCAGCGATATTGTAAAATCATTTTGTTATGATTTTTCGTTATTGGATAAATTATTAATGCTTTTTAATGGTGCCAATAAACAACTCTTACTAGACACAATATTTATAGATTCCCTTTTTTTAGAAAGAACAGATTTTATAGACTACATCATATCAAAATATAATTTATCATTTCCTGAGACAATAAAGCAAAATAATATAAATTTAAATAATTTAAAATTACTAGATAATCATTTAAAAATTAATTATTTTAATCAATATATAATTTTAAATAAATAAAATAAAAAATATTTAAAATAAAAAAAAAATAAATAAAAGATATAAATTTTGTACTAAAGTAATAAAAAAAAAATTTTAATACAGTTAATTAAAAGTTTTTAAAATAATTCTTTTACAAGTATATCTCTGAAGAATCCGCTGAATTTGATGATATTTGGATATTATGTAATGTATTCATATGCATTTTAGAATTAAATGAATATTACAGTTATAATTATATCTCAACTAAATAATATATTTATATTTTCCTTTATTTTAAATAATTTATTATTTAAAATTAAAAAATAAAAATAAAATAAAAATAAAAAAATTGAAAAATTAAAAAAATAAAATTTTATTTTTTAGTTTTCAGTTTTAGTTTTCACAAACAAAGAATTGTATATCTATTTGATTATTAGAATTATTTATATTTATTATTTATCTATAACTAAAGTAGCTCCATCTACATTACACTTTTTTTTTACGATCTTACTGTTCTTAACAAAAACCTTTGGGTCTGCGTTAATTCGGTAAGAGTAGTAAAGCTATGGTGGTTATAGTGATAGTAAAAAAAAAATTTATTAATTAATTAATATCAATTGTTCGAGCTGATTCGGGAATCAAATATATTGCAGTTATGAAGGTAGAATCAGTTAATATTCAAAAGGAGCTAGGGTGTCCAACGTATAAAGGTATATAATATTTTAATCACCAGGAAGATATTTCATCTTCTGGAAGATTTCCTTATTCAAAAGTTTTCGCTCAATCTGGGTCTCGATCCCAGGACCTACAGCTTAGAAGGCTGTCGCAATTCCAACTTTGCTAATCGAGCTTTTATGAAAAAAGAAGAACATATAAAAATTTTTAGGTAATTTTTTAAAAAATTAAATTACCTAAAATTTTTTCTAAAAATAAAATAATAAAAGTCATGTTAACCTCTGCACCACTTATTGAAGGGATAAGTCAAATATCGTGGCCAGCAATTAATACAAAAAAAGGTAATTTTTTGAAAAAATTTTAGTAATTTAATTTTGATTATTTAATTTTAGTTAAAGGGAGCGCTGAAATAATTGCCAAAAATATTCTAATCACTATACCCGTTCAGCCCTAACAAGAACCATTAGAAAAAATATCATAAAGTGTCCATCGGTCGATATATCGGTACAGGAAATGATAAACCAAATTTTAAAAGATGCTCAGTATTATCCTGTAGAATGTGACCAACACCTACTCACCAAACTAGATAAACCTTTCCTAGGTAATTTAAAAGAAACAGTTTTTATGGTACAGGAGAAACAAGAAAAATCTTGAACTTTTAATCTGCGAACCAATCTAATAAAGGGTACTCAAACATTCAAGTTAATCTGCGCAGCGGCATGGGAAAGAGAAGTCTAAGGTATTAACATGATATTAGAAGCTTCAAAACCTAGATCCGTCTAGTTAGTGGCACCACACAAGGAAGATAGTTAACAAGCTAGAAATATTTAGAAAGATATGGAATGAAAATACCGATTCATCTGGAAAGCACAGAATTTTATCAATGAACTACAAATAAATAATAATTAAATAAAAAAAAATTTATTAACAAAAATTAATTAACAAAAACTAAATATTCAAAATTAAAAAAAAAACTTAAAACTAAATTAATAAAAGTCGACTTTTATTAATGTTAATGATTAAAACAAAAAAATTAGGAAATTACTTCAATGTTTCTTATTCTAATTTTTTGATATTAATTTTTTTTTTATATAATTGAATTTTCTATTAATTAAAATTTTTTATATTATTCATTCCAAAGAAAAAATTTTTTATAAAAAAATCAATATTTATTATAACAAAAACAATATTTTAAAAAAAAATCTACAAAAATCTATTTTGCTTATTTCAAAATTATTTCCAAATTAAAATTAGAAATAAAAAAGATAAAAAAAAAAAAGTTGGATATTTTTATTTAAAGCATCCAATAATCCTTTTTTTTTTTTTTTACAACTTTCTTTCCATTATTTAATTGGTTTTTTTTTGTGATTATGAAATTTAAATTAAACACAAATAATTTTTTTTTTTGTTTATAACTATTTATTTTAAAAATAACATCACACCAACCATCAGATTAACAAAGAATGAAAAAAAAAAAAAATCTAATTAATGATTTTTTTTTTCTATTTTTTTTCTTTTTTTTTTTTAAATTTTAAAAAAATATAAAAAAAATTTTAAAAAAAAAAAGTTTTTTTTTTAATCGAATGTTTGTTTTCTATTTTCTTTTTCTTTTTTTTTTTTTTCTATTTTTTTTTTTTAATTTTTGTGTGAATGTTATTGTTTATACATCTAAAAATAAATATAAAATAAAGTAAAATAAAAAAATAAAATAAAATAATTAATAAAAAATAAAACAATTCTATTTTTAAAATTTAGTTTAGTTTTTTTTTTGTTTTTTTTGTTTTTTTTTTTTATTAATTTTTTTTTCAAATAAAATTTTTTAAAATTTTAATTTTTATTTTTTATTTTTTATAAATTAATAATTTGTAATTTTATTTTATAGTTTTAATATTAATATGATAATATCATTTTAATCATAATATAATGTTTACATCTAGTACAACTACCACCACACCATCCCCTTCCAATATACCCATTTTTTTAAATGTGCATTCAACAATGAACAATAATTCTTCAATTTACAATAATAATATAAATAATAGTAATAATAGTAATAATAGTAATGGTAATAATAATCAACTTTGTATAAAAAATTTAACAAAAATAATTGAAGATATCTCTTTAATTTTAACATCATATAAAAGTTCATTATTAAATACTCAAGAGTTTTCAGAATTAAATAATACAATTTTATTTTCCAAAGCATCAATAGCACAATATAAAGACTTTGAAATAAACCACGGAATAGATGTCGAAAATGTTTTAAAAACTATATTACCATTAATTAACAATAGCAATAACAATAACAATAATAATAAATCAACATTAAATAATAGCAATAACAGTACTACAACTAATATTAGTGGGTATGATAATTCATTAAAACAAAGTACTGATAGTAGCAATAGTATTGGTAGTACAAATAGTAATAGTAATAATAACGATAATAATAGTGACAATAAAAATATAAAAACAATCAAATATGGTGAAGAATCATTTGTTTTCATTTTAAATCGACTTACATTAGAGTTTAGCAATTATCAAGTACTATTAAATAAACTAAATATTACCAATGTTCAATTAGCCACTTCTACTACAACCACAACTACCACCTCTACAGCAAATAGTTTACCAAAGTCAAATATATCGGTCGAAATTAAAAATTTATTAAAAGTAGATTCAATTTTAAAGCAATTAATAGATCAACTATTATCATTATTTCCGATTAGATTTATTAAAGCCAACAATAATAGCAAAAAAACAACCTATTTCAATCCATATGAATTGTTATCAAATGAATCTAAAATCCTATGGAACACATTTGGAGATAAATCAGCATTTGTACCATGGAAACGATTTTTTAAAGGATTTGAACTATTTTTCAATCAAGATATAAGCAACTATGAAAATAGTCTAAGATACATGTTTGACTTTACCAACGAAAATTTTATTTCACCTTTTAAACTAGTAAACTTTTTAAAATGGTTTGGTAATTTGCCAGAGTCATTACAGGTCTTCAAAGATGTGGTAGATTCAAAGATATTTAGCGGTTTTATATCGGGTATAGAAGCAACAGAGCTTCTGACCCAACAGAGACATTCTCCAGGTCACTATTTAATAAGATGCAGTAAAACAATATCTGGTGCTTTTGCCATAACTTTTATAGATTCAACAAATTGTATTCATCATTGTCTTTTATATCCAACACCTCAAGGTTTAACTTTACAAAAACCTCCTGATGTTTTCAAAAATATCTTATCTTTTATTTTACAATTTTCTTCAAAATTAAAATATCCAATTGGACCATTAGACGTAAATTTACTACCAAATAATTATAATAGTAATAATTTAATAAATAATTTTAATAATTTAAATTTAAATAATAATAATAATAATAATAATAATAATAATAATAATAATAATAATAATAATAATAATAATAATAATAATAATAATAATAATAATAATAATTCATTCACTATTCCAATAATAATACAACCAACAATTACAAATGATAATAATATAAATGAATTTTCATCATCACCAAATTCTTTATTTATGGTAGATACAAATTCAAATACACCAAATCCACCACATAAAGAAAAAAAAAATAGATCACCATCACCATCAAAAAATAAAAATAGATCAAATAGCGATAATGATAAAGTTGATGAACTAGCAACCTTTTTAAATTCGGATGAAGAATATGATAGAACCCCTGTGGAAAGCAATAGTGTAAAAAAGATTAAAAATAAAAGATCAAATGGTAATGGAGGACTATCGTCATCATCATCGACAACAACAACAACTGAACCAAATTTTGTAAGCAATGGTAAAGATTTATGTATCGTTTGTATGGATAACGAAATTAATACAGTGTTTTTAGAATGTGGCCATCTTAGTTGTTGCTCCAAGTGCTCAGTCAAATTGGTAAAATGTCCACTATGTAGAAATAAAATATCAAGAATAGTAAATATTTTTAAACCCTAAACTCTAGAAATATTTCTATAAATAAATAATAAATTTATAAAACTTTTATTTTATTTTTTTTATTTTTTTATTATTTTTTATTTTTTACAAAACTAAAAAAAAACATTATATACAAAAATTTAAGTTTAGTTAACTAGTTTGTTTCGATATTTTCTTGTGTTGGTAAAGTTTTAACTTTAATATTGATTACTAATTGATTGTTTGTGAAAAAACCATTATTTACTTTGTTGTCAATGAATCTAAACCAACCATTGCCATTATTAGTTGAAAAATGGTTTATATGTGCTATTTTAATAATAAATGTAAATTAGTATAAAGAAATGAAAGATTTTAAAATAATATGATTATATAGAGATTGGTTACAATTTTTATAATTTTTAGTTGGATCTGCATTTTTGGCTTCTAAACAATATTTGACAGTTGTTGGCTTATCTAAGATTTTATATAGAAATATTGATACATGGTTTCTTGCATCAGCATTGCCATTTGGATAGATCATTAAAAAAAATTGGAAAGAACCAATAAAAAAGTATGGTGAGTTAAAGGATCTTCCTGCTGTATAGGTAGCTACTTTTTGATCCCAGTTATTTATGGTCCATTTGCCTATATATTTTTGAAGGTTTACAGAGCTGCTATCCCTATTTAATGAAATTGTAGTTTCCAAATGTTTGATTCTTTTCTCTAATTGAGCATTGATATCTAAAATATTTTTAAATTCTTTTGAAATCTCTTCGAATTTTGTTTCTTTGTTGATCATATTTTGAATAAAAAATATATGGTTATTATACTTTGATAAATGTTCGTTTATCAAACCACGTTCGAAACGATCTGTGCATCCACCGTTCTATAATTATTAGAAAATTAATAAATTAGTATTTTATAACTATAGTTTTAAATCTATTTCTATTTACTTTATATAGACAATCAATTAATATTTTTTTACATTCATGGTCAATGTGTTGTTTTAAAAGAGTACGGCCAACGTCTTCAAAACAAACGGTACATTTATCTTTAGTAGCAGAGCAGCTAGTTTCTTTATGTTTACGAAGCTCGCATTTTTCAATTGGTTCTTCACATCCATCACAAGAAACTATTACATATTCACAAACCTCATTATGGGCTGTGGTTAAATTCTTTCTAGTTATGGTTTTGCACTTGGTTTCATTGTTTGGACAATTACCTTTTTTATAAAAAAATTAATTTGTCAATATAATCTATCATTTTATATGTTTTATAAATATATTTCTATTACTTACAAAATTTATATTGACAAATATTAATATGATTTTCAAATTCTTCGATTGTAATTTTTGCTCTGCATCCTGAATCATCTTTTATAAGTTCATTGTTAAATTTGCTCTCTTTGAAGAGATAAGGACAGTAAACTAAATTTTTTCTAAAAGAATTTTCTAAAAATATATTACGTGATAGGCTGTCCATGTCAGTTTTAACCTTGCATGTTGGGCATTCCTTTTTAATAGATAGTTGACGAATCCAACTATTAAATATAATTTTATTAATAAATAAATAAATATTAGAAAAAAATAAAAAAATAAGGAAATAAAACTTACCATTCCCTACATGAAATGTGACCATTTTTGCACCTATTATAAAATATTTATAAAAAAATTAGTGTTGTTGAATTATAAAATAATTAAAATAGTACCTATAAATTTTAAATACATACTGTAATGCTTCAAATTCTAATGATTTACAAATTTGAGAGTTGTGTAAATTATTTTTAGTTAAAATTTTGAAATCAATTACTGACTCCATACATACTTGACAAAGATATATATTTAATTCATCTTTATTAACTAAAAGATCCTCTACTGTGAAATCTAAGTTGATGGCCATTAATTTATATGTAGGTTGGTAGAATTGGGTATGATAATATTTATAATAATATTTATAATAATATTTATAATAAAAATATATAAAATAAAAATAATATTATTAAAATAAAAACAAAACTTAATTATTTTAAAAAAAAAAAAAAATTTATGGAGATTCAAAAAAAAAAATAAAAAAAAATAAAAATTAAAAAAAATATATTTTTTTTAATATCAAAGAGTTTGAAAAAAAACACACCTGAAAAATTATCTTTAAAATTTGAGAGTCCACACCGAAAAATAACACCACTATGATTTTATTATTTTATTATTTTATTATTTTTTTTTTTTATTAATTATCATTATCGTTATCATTATTATATTCTTTTTTACCAACTTTATATTTAAATAGTAATTTGATTATGTTGTTATTACCACTAATTAATAGTTGTTGAATTAATTGATGTTTAATATCTTCACAGTTATGGTTTGTTGTAAATGAATTAAATGGGATACTAAATATTAGTACAATGGTAATCGGTTTATTGGTATTTTCTTTAAAATATTGACCTAGTCTTTTTAATATTGGTTTAAATCCTGCAGCATTATATACTAACAAGCATTTGAAGGTTGAAATATTTGGATTTTGATTTGCATGGTCCAAAAATGCTTTGAAAGATTTACAATTGTATTGGAAGAAAAAACTTGCTTCAAAATAAAGAGTTGTGATTGTAGGGATACCTATTAGAGGTGAAAGGAGTTTGCTTCTAGTTATACGATATCCAGGTATACTAAGTTTGTTTAATGTTTGGTTGCCACTGGATTTTAATAGGTCAAATAATGGTGCAGGGTTTCTACAGTAATAGTATTGATCGATATTTATTTGTAGTTTTCTAAGGGTAGTATTTTGGGATAATCCTTCGAACGATTTAACCAATTCTCTTCCTAATAGTTCACTTTTCCTTATGATAACTTCATTTCTACTAATACTGTAATAAACATCCTTTTCTTCATCCTCATCACCACTTTCCACCATTTTTAAAGTTGCATATTCTTTATCTTCATCATTATCTTTATCTTCTCCTTTATATCTTTGATTGGTTAGTTCTTCTTGCTCTAGCTTTTCGATTTTTTTTTCAGAGATGAAATAAACGTAAAGAGTTTTTAATGTTTTTGATTTTAAAGCTTCTTCTATAAACCTTGATGATGTTCTGTGCTGTACATCCAATGATTCTATACAATCTAATTGCAATAGTTTGAATGGATTGTAAATTAATGTGCTGTCGCAGTGAGTAATTGTAAACTTTCTTGGTTTATAGAGATTTATATATTCAAAGCTATAGTTATACAATCTACGCATTACTGGTGTTTCACTCCATACATCGTCATATTCTGCACCATTTGAAACTGGTAGTTGATCAGCCCATACTTCAGTCCATAGCCTATCAAATTTATAAAAGCCACCTTCTGTATAGTCATAGCACTCTTGATCTACACCGTCCACCCTGTCAAATACTTTTGATAATAGTTCTATTTGCAAGTGCACTTTTTTCATACTGGGACAGTTTTTTAAAATATATTCTTTAAATTTGATACTATTTCTCTTTGAATAAACCCTCCAGTTGGTTTTAAATTTACAATAACTACCCAAACCTAAATATTTTGTCTTTAAGAAATCCAATTCTGTATCATTATCTCTTGTTCTAAGATATTCCATTTCTTTATATTGTATTAGTTTATTTTCATATTGACTGCAATTGTCTATGTACGATATCATCGAACTTTTATCACCCAACACCAATCTTAATTGTTTTTGTTGATGAGTCACAATATTTTGTATTATTTTAAAAGATTGTTTTGAAATTAATGAAAACTCTAATAATACTTTGAATTTTTTTTTATAAATTAAATATGGTATAATGTCGTTGAATATCATTTGATTTAATTTGAAATTTTTAATTTTTAATGTGTTGTTTTCATTTTTACTGCATAAAATTATATATTATTTAAAAAATATATTTAGATATTTTTTTTTTAAAAATTTTTTTTTTTATCTTAATATTAATACTTACTTTTCTATTATTATTTCTTTTGCCATATTTTATTTATATTGTAATAAATCTTATAATTTTTAACCTCTTTTTTATATTTAATTTTTAAAAAGTTTTTATCTGAAACCCCACACAAAACTTTTATTTCTTTAATTTGAATCTATCTGAATGACTCAACCTATATTTTTTTATAAAATATCTTTTTTTTTTGAAACAAGACAATTGTAAATTATTAGTGTATAAAAAAAAAAAAAAGAAAATATAATAAAATAAAATAGTTTATAATAATTTTATTTTTTTTAATTTTTTTTATTTTTTATTTTAGATTTTAGAAATTTTAATTTTTTTTTATTTTTTTTAATTATAAAATTTAAATTAAATTTATTATATATTATTTCCTTAATATTTCTGTATACCTCTTTTATTATTTGATTTAATTTTTTAACATACATATTATTAATATATTTACAACTTTTTTTTTTTTTTTTTTTTCTTCATTTTACAAAAAATAATATAATGGTTGTATTGCAAATAATAAATACATTTATAGTGGTATTACTTTTATTAGTAACCATATTAGTAATTAAGGTAAAGTATTAAAATAATATAGATTCATTTTTCATTTTATTAATATATTTTATTTTAATAGGATTTAGTTTATACAGATAGAAAGAAAAGATTAAATAAATTAATACCAGGTCCTAAAGGAATACCTATATTTGGAAATTTATTTCAAATTAATGTTAATGATTTACCAACAAGTTTAAATGGGTTATATAAAAAATATGGATCTATATACAGGCTAAGATTAGGTAATGTAGAAACAGTAGTTTTAACAGGTGGCGGAAATATGGAAAGTTTTATAAAGAATTGGAAAATATTTGAGGATAGATATATTAGAGTTAGTAGATTTTTCACAAAAGATTTGGAAATAATATTTTCAAATGGGGATATTCATAACAAATTAAAAAATGTTTTAATTGGAGAAATCACAGCAAGAAAATTAAATAATGGACCTAGTTTATTTAATGTAAAAAAATATGTTGGAGATTTGATGAATAAAATATATAAAGATGATGATACAGTTGTGGAAAATCTTCCATTTTACATAAAAGAGTTAGTATCAAAGATAATGGTTAAATTTACTTATGGAAGAGAAGAGGATGACGAAACATATGCAAAAATAATTTTTAAAGTTACAAGATTAGTTGAAACAGCTGGTCATTTTATGTATTCAGATTATGTTCCTTTAATGTTACCAATCGATTTAATTAACTCTAACAAAGGTAGTATATTATCGGATTTTTTTTATTTGAGAAATTATTCAAAAGCCTGTTTAGAAAAATTAAAAAATAATAGTGATACTGGTGATAATGATGAAACAACTAAAGCAAATAGACCATTAATAGATTTTTATTATGATATGTATTTAAATGGGGAGATAAAATATGAATCAGTTTTATTATCCCCTATGGATTTACTTCTAGCAGGTATGGATACAACAGCAAATTCATTATCAAATATTATGGTAGCTCTAATTAATAATCCACATGTTCAAGAAAAAATGTTTCAAGAAATTAAAAATAATAATACAAGTGACGACATTTCTTATTCAGACAACACAAAATATCCATATACCAATGCAGTAATTAAGGGTAAATATAAATATACATTTAAAAAATCACAAATTTTTTTTTATTAAATTTTTTTTTTATAGAAACACACAGATATTTTTCAGTAGTACAAATCCCTGAACCATTCATAACAACAGATGATGTGGAAGTTAATGGTTACAAAATTGCAAAGGGTACCCAAATTATAAAGAATCTAGCTAGCACTCATTTATCTGAAGAATTTTGGGAGGATCCACTAAAATTTAATCCCGAAAGATTTTTAACGGAAGAGAAAAAAAAAACATATCATTTTGGTGCAGGAAAAAGAGTGTGCCCCGGTCGTTTTTTTGGCTCATTTATTTTATTTTTATCAGCTATTTTATTAGTTAAAAACTTTAAATTCGTTAACCCTAACCCACACGAACCAATTAATGAAAAAGGTGTAGTAGGTTTAGTTAAACAATGTATAGATTTTAAAGTTATCCTTAAAAAACGTCAATAAAATAAAAAAAATTTATTTTAAATTACAAATTATTATATTTTTTTATTTATTATTATAAAATAAAAACTGTTTATTTTTTTTTTTAAAAAGTATGTGTTAGTGGGGTATTATTAATTAAAAGATACTATCATCTATATCTGCAGATGTTTAATAAATTAATAATTTTTAAACCTTTTTATTTTTTTTTAATTATAAAATATCATTTCTTTTTTTTTTTTTTTATATTTTTTTTATAACTAACTGGTTCAAGTAAATATAAAAAAATGTTTATAGGTATAATAAATACAGTTTTTTTAACTTTAGGTTTTTTAATTACCATTTTATTTATTAAAGTAAAATAAAATATTTTTAAAAAAAAAGATCAAATACTATTATATATTAATATATAATCTTTTTTATTATTTAAATAGGATTTGGTATATGAAGATAGAAAAACAAAGATTAATAAATTAATTCCAGGTCCAAGGGCAGTACCAATTTTTGGTAATTTGCTCCATGTTAATAAGAATGATATTCCAACAAGTTTTGATGAGTTATATAAAAAGTATGGTCCAGTTTTCAGATTAAAATTGGGGAATATCGAAACAGTGGTAATATCAGGAAGCAAAACTCTTGATGAAAGTTTTATAAAGAATAAATTAGCAACCCAACATCGTTTTATTAGAAATAGTAGATTTTTCCTAAAAGATAGAGATATTATGTTTTCAAATGGGGATTTAAACCTTGTATTAAGAACCACATTCATGTCAGAAATAACAACAAGAAAATTAAATAATGGACGTTTGGATGCTAATAAATTCGCATTACAAATGATAAATAAAATTTACAAAGGTGATGATACTATCCTTGAAAACTTTCCAAAATATGTTAAAGAAACTGGTATTAAAATTATGATAAATTTTATTTTTGGTACTGAAGAAAATGAAGAACTAAATACCAAGTTCATTGACACAGTAGCAAGATTATTCAAAAATGGTGGCTTGTTTTTATATTCAGATTTTATACCAGCATTGCTTCCATATGATTTGCTTTTTTTGGGTTATAAAGATATGGTAAGAGATTATTTGTTTTTAAGAGATTATTCAAATAAAATCATAAATGCATATGAAGAGAAATTAAAAAATAATCAGAATTCTGCAAATGAAGATCAAGATTCAATCAAGAAACCAATAATGGAACACTACTATGATAGATATTTAGAAGGAAAAATAGGTTATGAGTCAGTTGCTTTTGCATCAGTAGATTTATTAGTTGCAGGTTTAGATTCCACTTCAAACACAGTTTCTTTTTTAGTTGCTGCATTAATTAATAACCCAGAACTTCAAGATAAAATATATGAAGAAGTAAAGGATGCAAGTGATGATATTTCTTTTGCTGATATTTCAAAATACCCATATGTTGTTGCTGTTATGAATGGTAATTATTATTTTTTATTAAACTTAAATAACAATATATACTAATTTTTTTTATAGAGGCTTATAGATATGTATCAATAGTTGCTTTATCTGAACCATATATTGCTTCTGAAGATTTCGAAGTTGATGGTTACACAGTCGCTAAAGGTACTCAAATTATAAAGAATCTACGTAGTGTTCATATTAGTGAAGAGGGAAATTGGGAAGATCCATTGAAATTTAATCCTGATAGATTTTTAGCATCACCTCCTTCATTAAATCAAAAATTATTATATCATTTTGGTATTGGTAAAAGAATTTGCCCAGGTAAAAGTTTTGCAGAATGTGTTTTCTTTACAATAATAGTATTATTATTTAAAAATTATAAATTTGTTAATCCTAATCCAAGTGTACCAATTGATGAAACCCAAATAGTTGCCTTAGCAATGCAGTGTAAAGAATATAACACAATTGTTCAAAAACGTTAAATAAATGATAATAGCTCTCTTTTTTTTAAACTTTATTTTCTTTGGTTTTTTTTTTTTATTTTTTATTTTTTTTGTAAAAATACCCCCCAATATTTTTTTTTAATTTTTCTTTTTTTATTTTTTTTACAAATTAAGGTAATTGATCTTATAGATTTTCCATATATATGATATTTTTTAAATAGATTCAAAAGTATGATTATTAGGATAATAAATAGAAAAATCATTTATTAAATGAGAGATATAACATTTATGGGTAAATGAAAAATAATATTTCTTATAAAACGAAAAAATTAAACTCTTCTTTGTTAAAATAATATTGATTTATAATTTAAAATATTAAATTTTAATAAAAAAATAATTTTAATCTACTCAATTATTATTAAAATTGTATCATAAATGAATTAATTTAAACACAATCTAAATTTAGATTTAAAAAAAAGCAGAAAACCAAAATAACCGTATAAAACATTATTTTAATTATTATATTTTATTTATAATTTAATAATATATATTTTTTAAATGTATGTTATTAAATAACAATTAGAGATTTTTTTTTAAAATTTAATTTAATTTAATTTATTACAAATATAATGGTTATACTTAATACAATAGTTTTATCAATCATTATTATTTTAACACTATTAATACTAAAGGTGTGTTTGTTTTTTAAATTATAATTTTTTTTTTTTTTATTAACTTTTTTTTTTTTTTTTTAAAATTTAGGATTTTCTTTGTGAAGAAAGAATTAAAAAAATAAATAAAAATATTCCTGGGCCGAAAGAAATACCAATTTTTGGTAATTTGTTTGATATAAACTTTAAAAATGTACCTTCAAGTATTGATAGATTATATAGAAAGTATGGACCAATATACAGAATAAGATGTGGAAATGTTGAGACAGTGGTTATAACTGGAAATCAGTATCTTGAAGAGTGTTTTATAAAAAATAAATTCATTTTTCAAGAAAGGTTTGTAAAATTTAGTAGAAAAATGACAAAGGGTTTAAATATTATATATTCGAATGGGGAGTATTGGCACAGAATGAAAAATGTAGTTTTAAAAGAGTTAACTTTTAGAAAGATAAAAAGTTTCCAACCAGATATTCAAAAACAAGTAGAATTATTATCAAATAAACTTAACAAAAATGAAGAGATTATAGAAAATAATTTTGTATTTTTAATAAATGAAATGTTTTTAAATATCATGTTGAACTTTGTGTATGGAAATTATGAAGATTTAGAAACTAAAAAAAATTTGATAAATATAATAACTCGATTCGTTATTCAAACAGGACAGTTTGTATATTCAGATTATGTTCCATTATTGTTACCAATAGATATAATAAATATTACAAAAAGCAATTTAATTTCAGATTATTTATTGCTTACTAACTATGCCAAAAAAATCATTGATAATTATGATAAAAATTATGTAGAAATAAATAATAAAGAAATAGACCCTTTAAATGAAAAAAGAAAATCAATGATGGAATGCTACTATGAAGTATACAAATCAGGTGGGATTAAATACGAAAGTATTATTGGTGCAACTATCGACTTAGTATTAGCAGGTACAGATAGTTCAGCGAATATTTTATCTTTTATTATAGTTGCTTTAATAAATAACCCTGAAATCCAAGAAAAAGTTCACTCAGAAATTAAAAGCAATTTAATTAATAGTGATATTACAAATACTGATCATTTAAAATGCCCATATACAATAGCGGTTATTAAAGGTAAAGTTTCAATTATTTTTTATAATATTATTATTAAAAATCAATATTAATAATTTTTTATAGAAGCACATAGATACTTTTCAATTGGTCCTTTATCCGAGTCCCATCGAACAACGGATGATGTTGAAATTTATGGATATAGGATTTCAAAAGGTACACAAATTATTCAGAATATAGCATCTACTCACAAGTCTCCAGAATTTTGGGAAGAACCATACAAGTTTTACCCAGAAAGATTTCTGAGACCACATAAACCATTATATCATTATGGCATAGGTTTAAGATCATGTATTGGAAAGAGTTTTGCCGATTATATTTTATTTGTATCTCTTGTTTCTCTTATTAAAAAGTTTAAATTTATTAATCCAAATCCAAATATTCCTATCAATGAAGAAGGTGATGTTGGTGCTTTTATACATTGTAAAAATTTTAAAGTTTTAATAAAAAGACGTAAATAAATAAAGTTAAACTGATATATTAAAAAAATAATTATTTTATTGAAAAATAGAAACATAATCTTTTTAAAAGATTGTTTATTTAAAATATTTAAAAAATAAAAAAAAAAAAAAAGATTTCGATGTTTTTTTTTATATTTATTATACACTAATATATTATTTTAATTGTAATGTAGTTTGATGGTAATATTGGAAATAGAATGTTGATTTCTTGAATCTTTCAAAGCTATCACATTCCATTAATTGGAAGATGCAACCTTGGGCGCCATCGAATATTGCTGGTAAATTTGATTTCTTACTATAGTTTTCTTCGACCTCTTTTAAGCAAGTGAAAGGAATATTAATTTGATTTTGGGAATTTTCGACTACAAACTGTGTATAGATTCTTTCTGCTTCTGCTAATAGTTTCTCTTTGGTATTTAGTTTACGATAATTTTCAACAGCGATCCAGAAATCAATATTTTCTTGTGAGAATTCAGTTAAAAGAAAATCTCTAAAATACTTGATACCAGTGGAATCTTTGACAATATCTGAAAGCATTGGAACGTACATCATTCTTAAATCACGTTCGGATGAAATGGTTCCTCTTCTTTCACGTCTAGAGGTTGGTGGTGGAGTTAATGATTTGCTAGTTTGAGTGGGTACATTAAGAGTAGTAGTTGTAACATTTGATTCGTTAATACCTGAAATATCTAAAGCGGTTATATCAGATGAATTATTTCTAAAATGTGATCTATTTCTATGGCCTCTTGGTGATGTTGGATTTGCTGAATTAAAATCTGCTAACGATGATGTTGGTACTGATAAACTATTACCATCAGTATTATTTTGTCTTTGTGATAATGGTGGTAATGTTTGTTGTTGTTGTTGTTGTTGATTTGTTATACTTGATAGATTTAATTGGAATTGTGGTTTGGCACGGCCATTGGATAAAGGTTGTGGAGATTGTTGTTGACTATCATTACTGTTTATTGATTGCAGAGATAATAATGGTACCACAGGCTTGCTGCCTCCCAATGTTGGTGATGTGACTGGAGTTTTATGATTTTTATCTTTTTCTTTGTTGTCTTTTTCTTTCTCTTTATGGTCTTTATCTTTATGATGAAAAGCAGTTGACATTTTTTTATGAATTGATTTTTGAAAACCTTGCATTGAAACTGATAGAGAAAAAGAATTTTTAGATTTAATTGGTGGTGATAATGGTTTAATTTCGGGAGTAGTTTGTGGTGATTGACTATTATTACTAATACTGTCAGTATCTTTTTGAATATGTTGTTGTAATTGTTGTAGCAATTGTTGTTGGTGATTAAGTTGTGACGATGGTGGGGTATTTTTGTTATTTAATGATAATGAAGATGAAGAAGATGAAGAGCAAGCTGATTTTGGTGAATCTTGGGAACATGTTGAAGTTGAAGAATTAAATTGAAAATGTTGGTTTTGTAATAAAACTGAGGTAGGTGGATTACTTAATTGTTGATTTAATTGTTGAATATTAACTTCGTCTAAATTTAATCTTTTGATTTTTATTCTTTCTTTTCTATGGGTTTCTTTCAATAGAGATGATGAATTAAAGGAAGCACTTGGTGATGAAGATAAATTGAAAGGTGATGATGAATAGACTGGGCTGCTGGTACCGTACTGTTCAGGGTTTAATTGACTAAGGAGCAAATTTTTCATACTTGTAGCAGCATTAATTTGACTACCATTATTATGTTGGTCCATATGATCCAAACTAGATCCATTATTAAATGAGTTAATTAAATCTTTAATAGATGGTTCATTAACTTGAGTTGGTGGTAAACTATTATTTTGAAATGAAATTTGGCAACTTTTTGATATTAATTTATCGTTTGAAATTTTAAAAACTTCATTATCTTCAATAATATGAATCTCTTCTTTTTCTTTTTCCTTTTCTATTTCCTTTTCCTTTTCCTTTTCTTTTTCTTTTTCCTTTTCTTTTTCTTTTTCCTTTTCTTTTTCCTTTTCCTTTTCCTTTTCTTTTTCTTTTTCTTTTTCTTTTTCTTTTTCTTTTTCTTTTTCTTTTTCTTTTTCTTTTTCTTTTTCTTTTTCTTTTTCTTTAATCTTTTCTTTTTCTTTAACTTGGCTCTTTAATGGTGTGATATCAATTTCAGAAAGTGATGAATGTTTCTTTAGCTTTCTATTTGGATTGGTTGTAGGTTGTTTTGATTTTGATTTTTTTGAAAATTTATGTAAAAATCTTTCAAAAATTGGAGAGGAATTGGTTTGAGATTTTAATAATACAGGAATGGTAGATTCAAACTGCTCTTGTTGTGGTAGTTTTTCTTCTTTTTCTTGCGATGATTCAATTTTCTCTATTGGTGGTTGTGATTGTGGTTGTGGTTGTGTTGGTGGTTCTATTTGGTTACCTGTTTCTGATAATGATAAATCATTTGTATTTGTTGGTGGTGTTGATTCTGACTGTAATACAGGAGATTTTAATAGTTTTTCATCATCCAAAATTGACTTTTCTTTATTAAAGCAAGGTAAAGATGATGAAATTAAATTATGATCATCATCTCTATTTAAAAATTCATTATTGTTTCCACAGACGTAACCAACACTGCTACTTATAATATTATTATTATTACTGTTGTTATTATTATTTACATGACTACCACTATTATTTAGGCTATGATTTTTATTATTATTAATTAAGGCTTGCTGAATCTCTAATACCTTCTCTTTTGAATGTTTTGGTGAAGGTGGTCTTGATTTAATCTTTTTGTTTATTGGATAATTTGTATTTGTAATTGCTGTTGGAGTAGATTGGATAAGCATTGAATCTCCATTTGCAGAAAATAATTTTTGGTCTTTGTTCAAAGAAGTAGTAACTAGTTGATGTTTCTTTGAGAAGGATGGTGGATTGCTACCACTTACGCTACTACAACAACTGCCGCTGCTACTATTACTACTGTTGCTACTTGATAGGCTTGTTGTACTTATGCTAGTAGGTAAAGTTGAAACATTATGATGAACTGTTGAGCAATTAATACTACTAAGGTGAGACATTGATTGAGATGAAGTTATTCCACCACCGCTTGATGGAGAAGAAAAAGATGAAGATGAAGAAATAGGTATGAAGGCGCTTTGACATAAGTTATTAATGCTTGGTGACTGTGGATGCTGTGTTGGGATGTGTATTTGATTATGTATTGGTGATGATAATACTGTAGTTGGTGCTATATTATCAGGTATTTGAACTTTTAATTGAACTTTTTGTTGTTGCTGTGGTAGAAGTTGTGGTGGTGAAGTTTGTGGTTGTTGAGTATTGGTATTGTTTGTAAGATTATTTGTTGAGGATGTAATGTTTGATTTATTTTTTGAAGATTTTTGTTGATCCTTTTCTTGATTTAAATAATCGATAATTTTTTCTAAACCTTGTTCACAAATTTCTAAAGGAGGAATAGTAATAGGATTATTTTCAATTGTAAATGTGAATAATGAGATTTCAGTAATTTGTATAGGAATTTGATGAATACTATTATTATTTAAATATAACTCTCTTAAACATTTCATTTGTGATATATCTTTTGAAATTGAATCAATTTTATTGTGAGATAGATTTAAAGATAATAAATTTGCTAATTTTAAAATATTTTTCGGAAATTTTTTAAATCTAAATAAACAGAGCATATAATGTTAGTTCTATATCCAGGAATTTTTATTATGTATGTAAAAAAAACATTTTATACCTACTTGTTATTTGATAGTTTTAAATTAACTAAACCATTTAAATATTTTATAGATTTTGGAATTTTTTTTAATCTAGTAAAAACAATTATAGAAATGATGTTAATATTAAAATAATAATTTAAAATGTTATAGTTAATAATTAAAAAAACTTACTTGTTATTTTCAAAATTTAATGTAGTTAAATTATTAAAGTGAATATTAAAAAAATCATTTGAAATTATAGAAAAATTATTATTTGATAAGTTTAATAATTCAATCTTTTCTTTATCACAGGGGAATCTTGATGGAACTTTTGATAAATCTCTGCTTGAAAAATCTATATTAATACCTCCATGATTACCAATCGATAGAGCACCCATTGAAATATCCAAGATTGATGGGCTGGATGTTAAAGTTGAAAAATCTGTTAATGAGGTTGATGATGTTATTGCATGGTGATGATTAAGGTGATTATGATTATTGTTTAATAAAGGAGATGGAGAAGATGATGGTGATAAATATGTATTTAATGCTATTGATGATACAGAACGTTTACTTAAAAAACTATGTCTACCGTTGCTACTACTATTATTATTTACAGTTGTTGAAAATAAAATTGATTTTTCTGTCGTTGTTGGTAAAATTAAATTATTATTATTTATTATATTCATTTTACCTATATTATTTATATTACTAGTATTAATGTTATTTTTAAAACTATTATTTAATTCTATATTTTCATCAATATTATTTATATTTTTAATTTCGTTTTGGTTATTATTATTATTGTTGTTATTATTATTACACGAATTTATATTATTAGTATTATTATTTGTAAAACTATCTTTAATTATTTCCATTTATAATTATTTTATAGGTAGAAAAAAAAATTTATTATTTTGATTATTGGGTAAAAACTATAAAATTAAATATTTAGTATTAGTATTTTTATAATAATTAAATTTATAATTAATATGAAAAAATAAAAATAAAAAAATTTTATTTAATTAAATATGTATAGAGTATATATTTATATATTAAAAATAAAATAAAATAAAATTAAATAAAATATTCGTGATAATATTGATGATAATAAAAAATAAATAAAAAAATAATAATTATTTTTTAAAAAAAAAAAAAAAAAAAAAAAAAAAGTAAATTGGAATTAGACAATATTGTCTTTAAGAAAATGAGTGTGGTGTGTAGTTATTTGTGTTATATGTGTTTATAATTATATTTTGTATGTGTAGTTGGTTTGGAGTGAGTGAGCAAGAGAGTGAGTTGATTATCAATAAATATCAATCTTTTTACTATTATTAACCAAAAATATAAAATTTTATTTTAAAATACAAATTTTAACCCCACCAATAAAAAAAGATATATGAATACACTACCACAACCCATATGATTTTAAAAAAATAATATGTTTATGTGGATAATAACAAAAAAGTAATAAAATAATAATGAAAATAATAAGAATTAAACATTAAACAATAAAAGTTTTTAATACCAAAAAAAATATAATAATAAATTATAATATTACTAATCATCATCATCATAACCCTATTATTAATATGATTAATATTATGAGTATTATTATTTTTATTTTTATTATTATTATTATTATTATTATTATTATTATTATTATTATTATTATTATTACTATTATTATTTTATATTTTTATTTTTATTAATCATTTTATTATTATTTTAATGATAGGGGATTATATAAAATGGATTGTAATTTTATAATAAAAATAAAAATAAAATATTTTTTATAATGATGATAATGGACAACAATAAAATATCTAATAAAACTATGCATATTAAATGAGAAAGGATATTTATTTTAATTGGTGGTATCATATATAAATCTTTATGATAAATTCACCCACAATGAATAAGTATACAAACAAAAAAATAAAAATAAAAAATAGGTAAAATAATAACCCATATTTTAATTGGTATTTATAGTGTAGATGATTTAAAAGATAAAATTTTGACTTTTGATTGATAATCTTTTTTTTTTTTTTTTTGTTTTGTGATGATGAATATAAAAATATGCTAAAATAGATGTAACAAATTTTGATTATTTACCACTGATATTATACAAATACAATAGCTAAAGGTTCACTAAAGAAATAATTAACATTTATAAAAATAAAAAAAAATGAAAAATGAAAAATGAAAAATAACATAAAATCAAATTTAAACAAAAAAAAAAAAAAAAGAAATAGAGAAAATTAAACAAAATAATTGATAATTTTTAATGTTTTTTTTTTGTTTGTTTGTCTTTTATTAAAGTTATTTGTGTGTGACGTGAGG